CTTGCTGTGCAAAAATAAAAACCAAAATTGTTCAACTCCGGAACTGATTTCCAAACTGTGATTTCATACATTCATCCATCAGTGGCTCAGCGCGCATTTGGTTTTGTGTTTCTCTATTTGTAAACACCAGAAAATATCATCATCATCAACTTCTTCATCTGCTCGTGTATTTTTTTGTTCGGTTGTGTTTCAACGCCCAAAAGAGACTGTGATTTTTATACTCAATTCTACATTAAAATATTTAATTTGTTAAAATTCTTCATAACTTACACTTTACGTTCCTCAATGAAATCCGAAGTATTAAATTGTAACAACAACCACCAATTCAACAGTTTTTTAAGTAAAAAACTAAAAGTGAAAACATCACTAAAACAAATGTCAACGAAAATGATCGCCTCGCAAGTAACCGATTATGATACTTTCTTCAAGCGACCGGCGAAACCCTCCAACGCGGAACAATTCTTTCGCGATAGTTTGGACAATGGGTAAATATTGAAATATGCAGTAATTAAGTATGAATGTATTGGATATTAATTAGTGTAATGTGAGTTGTCAAGGGTTATAAAATACTTTGACTGTGAATAAGCTCCCAGAGCTTAAAGGCTTAGATAAAACATAACTACATAGAATGGTGGGTTCACAATATATCGTCAAAAGACTTAAATACTTACAGATTACAACTGTTTCCTCGAACCTTTTTAAATATTTGTCTAGAAGAAAAAACTTAAAATGAGTTAATACTTTTCCTGAATTTTTCGTATACAATTTTTATAAAATTTTGATTGTATTTTAATATTCTATTAATGAAAATACATTTTTACCCTTTTTTAATAAGGAAAAGTAAAAAAAATTTTACTAGTAAGTAATTTAAATATATAAATATTTAAATTTGATCGTTTTATATATTATTAAATAATTATAAAAACTTTAAAAAATATTTGAAAGAAATTTGTTGTAACAAATATTTGTTACAAATTAAAAAAAAAATATGTATAATATTTAAATATTAACTTAGGCATTTTATTACAGCTTATGTACTCTGTTGTCCCAAAATGAATTTTAAAATTCATTCATATTCAGATTATACATATATGTATATAAATATGTACTACAAGTACATAGAAGTACATAAATTATTGTAGCGATTATTTTCAAAATGGCTGCCGGGCCACGTTTTCCGATTAAAATATAACCTTCCGAGCATACTCGACCACACCTAAAAATCCGATAAATTTTTATTTATAAGTAATTTTTGCCTAAAATTAATGCTTTTTGGCAATTAGAGCACTTTTATAAAACAAAAAATTAAGAAAAATAGCGATAAATAAACTCTGTATATTGAATTAAATTACGTATATATGTATATCCATATTAAAAAAAATATATATATATATATACTTTTTATATTTTAGAATGTGTGTTGTCCGACTGCATTAAAAACGTTTTATCTCATAATATTTGCTCGACGAAAATTTTTATATCTTCATTTTGGTTTCCTCTGAGGTGTTTCACTATTCAAATTTCAAAAAACGTTGGAGTTATAGAGCTTGGATTTCCAGGTGAGAATACCCTCTTGACGTAATGGCAAGAGGGTCCAAAATAGACTGCGGTGTAGGGACGGGAGTATACACCGAGGATCAAGATATCTCTTTATCTTTCCGTCTACCAAACTAATCTAGCATCTTCCAAGCGGAAGTACTAGTTCTATGCAACACACACACAGATAACCAGGCGGCACTACAAGCCTTCTCGTCGCCAATGATCAATTCCAGCTTAGTATACAAAAGGTGGATAACTTCAAGCTCACTGGCAGGTCAACTCGACTCCCGGTCACAGGAACATGTTTGGCAACGAAAAGGCAGACGAGTTGGCTAAGTCAGAAACCTCTCTAGACGAATCCGAGGCAGAGACAATACTGTGTCCGCTAGAAACGATCAAGAGGGAGCTCAATACCCATTTCGAACAAATAGCTCAAAATAGATGGAAATCCACAACTAAATGCAGGAAAGCTAAACAGATATGGCCAAAATATGGCAAGACAGAAACTATAGACTTATTATATAGGTTCAGGAAAAGTATACATAGACTTACAGCAACCATAATAGGGCACTGGCCATTTGGAGACTATGCGTTAAAAATTGGTATGCCCTATAAATGCACTTGCCGTAGCTGCAAACTTGAAACGGAAACGACTCTCTATCTGTCTCTACCACAAATCAGACATCGAACTTTTGGAACCCATCAGTTACCAAACCTCGAATGTCTATCTACAAAAAGCATAACGGAGATAAGTAGTTTCATTGAGGGCACCAAATAGTTTGAACACAACAATACAACGTGATACCAAGATACAAGGTGTTACGATATTGTATCAAAATGCCGCTTCTAGCGCTAATTGCGCCCATAGAAGCAGCACTCTTACCTACCGTAAAAATTTAGATTTTCGAGAAAAATATTAGTTGAATCTTCAATTAAAGCAGTTAACCGAAATTTTTGTAAAATATGTATATTAGAAAGATAATATCATAATATAATTTTTTTTCATATTTCCAAAATAATTTCACACAAATATCGTCTTAGTTTCACAATAATTTGTGTAAAATAGAAATAAGTCACGCACATACAAATTGTAAATAAATATTTAAAAATGTGTCAAAACAATCGCAGTTGTGTAGTTTTGCAAGCAACACAATAATTTACGCTCGCAAAAAAACCAAAAATATTTGGCACCGTTGCATTTATTACATATTTATTATTATTTGCTATGTACTCGTATTGTATTTATTTCAAATTTATTGATATTTAGCATTAAATTACGTTCGTAATAATTGATTATTACTGGCGACATCAAGTTCCGTTTCATATTGGGTCTAAAGTTAAGTTTTTTATTTTAAAACATACCGTTGACTCCGATCGTAATAATTAACGGTTTATTTGTGTTGACTTTTTCAAAACAAAAAATAACTTCATCGCATATTTCTTTTATTATTTCAGTAATTTATGGTTATTGTGGTATGCACGCCTTTCTTGTCGGTGTCGATGAATGAAAGGTTCAATTTAAGAAACGGAAATTTTTATGGCAATTATTTAGATAAATATATTACCGCATTTTTAAGCGAAAACTTGCGCATAGCATGAGAAACGTCGTTTTTTTTTGTCTTCAAGGAATATAATAACAAGTAAGGAAGGGCTAAGTTCGAGTGTAACCAACCATTTCATACTCTGGCAACTTGCAAGAATCAAAGCCCGGGAAATTTTTTCAGGTGCTGGCTAACTTTATATTAAAAAATGTTGTGAAAGAAGTAAACATCCATATTCGATGAAATCGTGAATAAATTGCAATCAAATCTTGATTTATAGTGAATATCATTAACTTCGATTTAATTTTTTTGCTATATTTTAGTTCGCGTCAGTTAAAATTTCATTAAAAATGTATGATGTAGAATCGTCAACCAGAGGATCGGAATTCATTATATTAGGGATATTAGGTTTAGACCAATATGAAAAAAAAATATATACGTAATTATTTTAGTTGCTATATTAATATAAATAACAGTAAAAAATTAAGTTTAAGAAGAAATATAAAAAAATATTGAAAATATAAATAAAAAATAAAATTTAAATAATAACTAAAAGTATTTAATATATGAAATAATGATGGAAAGTATAAAAAATAAGTTGATTTCTAATTAAAAGATTTCTAAATTTGAAAAAAAAAATACTTTTTCAAAGTTTCTAAATTTCATATTTATTATATATATTTTAAAATAAAATAAAAACTTTTTTAAGGAAAGAGGATATTTTATAATTTTAAATTTTTAACGAAACGAGGATTTTAGTTTATTTTAATGGTCCCCACGATGTATTCAAATTTTATGGTCATGAATAGTTTACTTAAGTCAGACCATAAAACAAAAAGAAGAAGCTTTAATTATTGAATAATATAAATATATTGTTTTTTTTCGTAAACTGACCTTTTTGATGCTAAAATATTATTTAAAATTTTCGAAAAAAAAAATTATAAATAATTTAGTCTCAATAAATGTGAATTAAATAAAATATATATTTTTTAATATATGTATTTAATACTAAAAAAATAATTGTTAGAAATCGCAAAAAGGAAGCAAATTTAATTCAAGAAAACGTGTACGTACAATATATTTATATCTTTTTATGAATAAATTGTAAATATTTAAATTTAAATTATAATTTTAAAATATTTAAAACATAAACAATAAAAAGTATAAACAAAAAATTATTATGTAAATAAATATAATATACATATATAGTTTTTACATATAAATATAAATTTAAATAATACACATGAGTTAAGCCACCAGAAAATATCTGGTAAATTCAGGTTTATGTGTAATTTCAGGTTTATATTTCAGCGCTTTGCGATGCTGTCATCAACTCGTCACCTTGTCTCTGTCGAAAGTTTCAGTAATTTTTTTCTCACTCAAGTTTAAGTGCCGGTTTTTATGCTATATGGTTACGATATACATACTTTCATGCACGTATTAACATACTTATGCCCTCTGTACATATGTTATATCCCATAAAGTATGAAACGGTATGCTTTGAGGTTGTTGGGTGCACGTTTTAGTCCTCACGTATTCTCAAATTCACTGCTTAAAAATATCACAGGTATCACAAATCTTCGCACGCTTAGCGTGAGTTTGCTTAAATCACTGAGCATTTTGGAACTTGTTGTGAAAAACTCAATTCAAACTTTGTGAAAGAATATGAGGAGAAATGTGCTCTCAGTGATTTCACATCTAATTTCTCGCGCATGCAATCTTGTGTGTTGTTTATTGAAATTTCTTCTTAGGCGATTTGTATACCAAATTACAAAAATGCTGTTTAATTTTTTTTTTCACACATTTAATTTGCCAAAATATGTATAAAAAAAATATATTTTTTTAAACTTTTTTTTTAAACAATTTTTATCGATTTTGGTCTAATTAACATCATTATTTATTTTTTATTTTTACTTTTAGCGAGCGCCGTTATGACGAATTATGTCGAAATATTATCAGCGACATGAATCAGTACGGTTTGTCGGTGGTCGATGATTTTCTGGGTGTTGAAAAGGGCCTGCAGATTCTCAATGAAGTGCATCGCATGTACTCAGCTGGTGTCTTCAAAGTAAGTCTTTTTTTTTACGTAATTTTTATTAGACTTGTCAATTTTTTATTCTCTCTCCGTAGGACGGTCAACTGGTGAATAATTTGCGAGAGGAAGAGCTGCGCACAATACGTGGCGATAAGATAACGTGGGTTAAGGGCGTAGAACCAGGCTGTGCAAATGTTGGCTATTTGATAAATCAGGTATGCTAGTACAAAAGCATAATTATAAATATATACAAGAGTATTAATAAATATTACATTATATTTATTATAATACTAATTTTTATTTTTTAATGTCAATGAGGCTTATTGCATTTATTCCATTTTGTTTTTTACAGATTGACGCGGTCATTTGTCGGGCAAACACAATGAAGAACAATGGCCAATTGGGCAACTATAATATTAAAGAGAGAACAAAGGTGCGTGTGAAACATAAAAATATTAGAAAATTATTGTTTGGTTTTCTTCAATGTCTTCTATGTTTTATTTAATTTTATAATTTTTATTATTGTAGGCTATGGTGGCATGCTACCCGGGTTCCGGCTCGCATTATGTGGTGCATGTCGATAATCCGAACAAAGATGGTCGTGTTATAACGGCTATTTACTATTTGAATGTTAATTGGGATACGGAGCGCAGTGGCGGCGTTTTACGGTAAGCTTTTTCTTTTTGATTTTATGAAAATCATATTACTTGATATGCAAATTCGTGGCATGAGAAATAAATGAAAATCAAAATAACAAGAATTGTACCATTATTCTGTTCTATGTATATACATTTATTTTTTATTTAACCGTTTAATTTTTTTATTATTAATTTAGCTTGTGTATTGTTATATGTTTCGTAATTATTATAATTTTTTATTTATTTATTTATATATTTTTTAAATTTTTTCTTATATCATTTTTTACCTAAATTTTCGTTATATTTATTATTTTTTTTTTCACCAGTTTGTTTAGTTTTTTAAGTTATTTTATTTTTTTTATTTTTTTATTTCTACTTGTTAAGTGCTTTGTAATTAAAGGCTTTAAACTCATTCAAATTGTTTTTTTTTTTTGAATTTACCCATGTGTTTCCAATTTATTTACTTTGCATTTGTATTATAATTTTTATATACTTTTTGATTTTTTTTCTTATGTACATTTCTAGCAATGTTTTTTATAATGTTTTTGTATTCATTATTATTATTTAATAGTAATTTTTAATTTTTAATTATTTCTTTTTTTCATTTAAATATTTTTTATTTCATATATCATATTTTTAGTTTTTTTAATTGTTAATATATTGTAGAGTTGTTTAGATTTGAAAACTAATGTAAGGAAGTAAAGATTGAAAATCTAATTTTTAATCACATCATGGATTTAAAATTGATAAAACATTTTTTACCTTAACAATTGGAATAAGAAATCAAAATAATTATTTTTCAAATTTAAAGCTGGAATAACAGTGGATAAAAAAAGCAATATTTACATATAATAAAACTCTATAACTAAAATCAATTAAATGTAAATAAGACCGAAAGAGTTAAACGAACGATGTTGATATTTTATTAAAAATAAGCATTCCAAAAATACTCAAACGCGAAAAATGTAAATTCTAAAACACTTTATTTTTTAAATTTATAATTTAGGTTAGTTTCGGTAAAGAGGTCGATCCTAAGAACCTAAAATTTCTATAAATCTGGATCATAAGACCCTTACAGATCGACAAAGCGCTTTGCGCCTATAATAAATTTGTTGAGACGGCTAATATCAGTTTCGGCGGTATCTTCTGGTTCGCCGAAGGTAAGATTACCGAGATTTTTCAGTCTCAGTCTTGCAAAAGCCGGACAATGGAAGGGAAAGTGCCTGGATGTTTCAACCCTGCATTCTCCATACAACTTTGACAACTAGCGTAGGATATTTAGCCTTACCGCATGAATACCTATTGGACAGTGTCCAGTGAGAACTCCTACGATTGCGGCGAGATAAACTTTGCTTAGGGCGAGTAGTTCACTATATCTCTTGCGTTCCACCCTAGGACAGAAGGATCTCGCGGTCGCATAAGAGCTGATCGTCGAATAGCGCCTGATAAGTGCACGCAGGGTCCATTGGTCGAGTGCTAGAACGCAAGACTTCAATGGAGCTCCAACTCTTTCCCATTCCGATGTTAGTGAGGCAAGAGTGCCTCCTCAGACTATCTCATCAGCTTTGCAGTTACCAGCGATTCTGCTGTAACCAGGCATCCAAACGATTCTGATGTGGAAGTACAATAGTTTGATGCTATTTCTAGTGAAGACAGACACATTACTTGTGTATTTATTTAAGAATTTTTCTTTAACCATAAGAACAACATCGAGGCTATCACCCGACAGCCTCGTTCCTCGAGTTCTTTTAGTAGGAAGTAGTTACCACGAAATCCAAAGCAGTGGGGAAAGTATCCACCCAGTATAATTTTGCTTGAGATTACATTTTTTTTCCATCCGGTATATGGGACTAAAAATTATAAAAAAAAAGATTTTTATATTTTATTTTTAATTTATATTCCGATTTTTTTTTATATTTTTCAATCCGGTATTTGGTATTGAAATTTTTTAAAATATTTCTTATTACCATTTTTATGTCCTTTCTATGTTTTATTGTCGTTGAATTTTTTCTAATCAATATTTATTTTATTACACTTACATTTTGTACCTAAAATATAAACTAAGTTTAAATATTTGACAAAAAATAAAAATAAGTTTTTTACTAATTACCAGACTCACTGCCACTATTTGCACCTAAAGAAATATCGGAAATATTTCTTCATGATAATTAAAACAAAAAAACTTTTTTTTATCATTCTTGCAGAATTTTCCCAGAGCACGGTAATTCAGTTGCTGATATCGAGCCGAAATTCGATCGTCTGATCTTTTTCTGGTCCGATCGGCGTAATCCTCACGAAGTACAACCCTCCCATCGCACACGCTACGCCATCACTGTATGGTATTTCGATGCGAATGAACGCGAAGCGGCGCTGAATCGTATTAAAAACAATAAAAATAATGCCAAATCAACAACAAACACAACAACAACAAATGCAAATACAACAGCGAGGGCGTCGGCGCCTACGAATATGCACGACAACTCGAGCACAACGCACACAAGTCCGCAATTGAACACCAGCAATGCGTCGGCGGCGACAATAGCAACAACAACAACAGCGCCAACAACGCCAACAACAACGCCAACAATGCCAACACCTGCAAATATCAAAATGGTGGCGAATTCGAATGCGTCCATAAACAACAGTAAATGTGCGAGTATAAACAACGCGACGACGAATATCGGCGAGCACCATCTTACGAACAGCAACAGTGCGGTACTTGCGAATTCGAGTGAAATTTGTACGTAACACCGCAAACAGCTGTTGTTGATGTTGTTGTAAAGAGAAAAAGCTGGTCTGTGTGTTGTAGCGTGCGTGTTTCGTGCGTTTGTGTTTTTTTATTTTGGTTTTATAAGTTTTTGTTATTTTTTCGATATTTTTGTTGTGTTGACCGACCACTTAAGCGTGGACCAAAGGCAAGCAACAATTTTATTTTTGCTTAATGCTTGTTAATTTTTGTGCGGAAATACTGTAAATGCACAGGAGCGTAGAAACAGAACAATAACCAATTGGAAATGCAAAAAATATTATTAAAAATTATGAAATTTGTATAGCTAGAAGTATTATATATACGAATGCAATGTAAATATATATTTAATATAATTCACTAGAACAAAGCTCTGTGTGGCGTTATAGCTTAAGTGAAAAGAAAGCTGAATGAAATATTTATATTACATTTGTGTATTATCTATACATACATATGTACGCACATACATACATACGGTATATATACGTATAAAATGCATGCAAACATCTGCGCCTATTTCTAAATTGTGATAAAAGCGAAGAAAAGATGTGAGAATGCATTTGAGTGGTGTGAAACGCTGTAAAGTCGCAAACTAAATGACAGTGTACCTACAGCTGTGTGTTATAAATTAGATTTTTTTTTATAAAAACTAGTGACCAGTTGCCAGTTGTTGGTTGGTGTGGTTTGTGAGCTTTCTGTATGTAAACACATACAAATTAGTTATAGTATTGCGCGTTAAAGAAATTTCTACACAAAAAGCAGTTGCATGCATGCATATTCATACATATGTATAGCTACACATATTAGGGTGTCCGTTATTTTACAAGTTGTTTTTTTGCAAACGCCCTCTAATGTTTTAGTTTTTACCCTAAACGCAGTGCCACCAAATGTACTGTTTTCATATAGTACACCTTGCCGTATGAGTAACACAGAATCCATAAATGTACTTGTATGAATGCTCAGGTCATTTGATGTATTACTCGAACTGCGTATGACTTTTACAGGAATGTTTTTATTTAAAAAACTTTATGACCTTTTTTGTAGAGTAGAAAATGTGGCATTAGAGTATCATTCAATATTGTAGATTTATTATCTTAATGCGAAATATCAAAAAATGTTATTTACGAGGAAAAAGATTGAGCTACGGTTTAAATTAAAAATAAAGAGCTGGTTAACGTTGGATCCTTATTTTTTGGGTCAAAAACTGAAACTTCTGAGGCCGTTTGCAAAAAAACATTCAACTTGGGAATAACAGTTACCCTAATATATCTGTATGTATGTGTTTATTTTTGTGCTCTTCATACATATGTTTGTACATAAATGCACTTGCAAATACCGTTCTATAAAAAATTTGTCAAAGCTTTAAACACATTTGCAATGAAAAGTCACTTATCAAGTCAAAATAAGGGCAAAAATCGTTTATAATTACAATAATGAGCTATTTAGAATTTTATTTTAGGCGCTAAACGTAAGTTTATGGATATGTACATATGTAACTGGTTTTGCTAATTATTTGAGCAAATAATTTTGTGCTGATAATAACAATTGACATATTCGCTTAGTAAAAATCTATTTTTTTTTAGTATTTCAAAATTTGATTGCAACTCACACAAATACACATACATTATTAATGTCTACGTGCACAATGGCATGCAAGCAAAAGTCAAATAGCAGCTAGCAAAGCGAAAATTAGCAACAATTAAACGTAATGCAATAAGCTAATTGAGTAATTAAATATAAATAACAGATGTACATACACACATATGTATGTACTAATGAGCACGCATCAATATTTGTTTGTGGTTGTGTGTGTTTGTGTGCAAATGTAAAAAGTATATGCTAAGCGTGTTTTAGAAATGTCAAGTAATAGCAGAAGATGTTTGTTATATACTAAAAATATTTTTTTAATTTATAATATTCATAGAACACATAGATATATGTATATATTGACATATATAGAGCTACTTCTATTTGCATAAAACAATTCGACTACTAAACTTAGTTACCTTGTATTATATATAATTTAGTATGTTGTTACATACATACTTACATACATACATAAATAAAACCTATTAAAGCCTGTGAAAAGCAAAATAGTTACATAACAAATATGTAAAAAAAAAAAAATAAAACCAAATTTATTTGCTAAAAGAATGCTAAAATAAAAATGTATACATAAATAATTTATTATTCATATTAAAAACAAAAGAAATTTGTTTTTTTGGGCGGTACGTAGATACTTGGAATATTTGTACACATTGTTTGTTATGTATGTGCGTTATATTTTTTTGTTTTAACGCTGTGTTAACGCAAGCCGATCTGCACGGTATTTTGATCGTTAGTACGAAGAAAGGAAGTTATTGCATTAAATGTAAATTCGTTTCGTAACGAGTGCGGTGATCCGGCTACTCGACACCTTACGAAATTTCACCAATACGATTAATCGCTCGTCAACGAATGCCGCAATTCGGGCCCAGTTTGAATGATATATAACACACAAGATTAATTTCAACATATATGGCAAACTTGGTAAGTTTTTCGAAATCTTTCCGTTGATATCGGGCAAGAAATCCGTTAACAACATTACAGATTAAATTATCAAAAATTTCTACAGCAATCAATGTTATGTTATTGTAATTGATCCAGAATTTATTTGACCATGCTCTAATTTCGATATGTTAAATTACGATATTGATATAGCGGACGAAAGATTACCGAAAATTTATTTGATAATCCCTAATGAGTTGCATAGTTATGTTGCATATAAGTTCGGGCTCATTCCGGTTAGAGCTCATTGCTCTTCAGAACTGATGATTTGTGACTTGATTTTCTCCGTCTATTGGATACTTCTACAACTTCCAAATCCTCCCAGAACTTAGGTATAGAGCCATATCCATATTGAGAACGAAAAGAAAATAATAATGTGATCGAAAGAAAAGCAAATTTTCGGCATGTTCTTTAATCCGTTTCTAGCTGATTTCACTGAAACTGTCCTTGCAGTTATTTGCTTGAAGCGGAAGAGCCTGCTAGGTACATTCGAATAACTTTCATACAACTCATCGAAGGCACAGTACTATATCGACGTAATTTCGGAAGCGGCTAACTTCAAACAAGTACTGAGAAGCAGTGATAAACATGTAGGCTCATTGCTTCGGTTAAGCGTAGTCTCGTATAAAATATCTTTAGAGAAGATATGCATACATATAATCTACGAAGTGTCGCCAAAAGACAACATTATTCAAGGACAAACATTACTCATAACGATCCTTTCACTTTGAAGAAAATTGTGGACTTTATGTAAATTAATTGTATCAACAATAATGCCAATAATAATAATAAATACACCATATTACGATAATATACTTACTATTATGTTTAGCAGCTCCGCTATCTCTTTCATCATAACACGATGCTTTTCCAGCGTTATAACCGCCTTTTTTTAAGTTTATCTTTTACGATGTCAGTTTATAAAAATTTAAAAAAAAATAAGTTCATGTAAGGATCACTTCAAAAGTTAAAGGTGGTGCGGCACCACCCAAGTTTTTATATATCTCACATACCGTTTGACCGATTTGAAATTAATTCAAATACCTATCATTGTCCTAACTAAGAGAGCGGTGACAAGGTTTAAAAATGTGCAAGTTCACACTATGGAACGCCATTTATGTTTCTTTGAGCTTTCATCTTTTTCGAATAAAGCAAAAAGTCTTTGCTTAGAAACATATCTTTCCCCAGCACAACTTTGGTGATTTTTGCAATAAGATTATACACATATTACTTATATATAGTGAAGAAGGGAGATTGAGATCAGAGACATTTCCCCTCGGGCCCTCAGTTCTCAGGGGGCTGATGCTCTTTTTTTTATCTCCAACACGTCACTTCAATCATCCTCCTGCCACGGTTTTCTCTCTACGTCCCTGCTTATATACATATATGGACTACTAAAGACAATCGTGGATGAAAAACATAGAATATTAGGGACTTTGGATCGCAGTAATATCAAAACACAAATCATATACTTCTGAATAATATGTATGCATACATTCTTTATTTTTCGAAAATGTTTTTCTCAATGACTTTACATTTACATTAGAGTTAATATAGATGTATATTTATAATAGTATGGTATATGTTTGTGTTACACATTCATATGTATGTATATGCGTGTGTGTGTATTTCTGTATTTTTAAATGTATATGTATGAATGTTAATTTGTTTGTTTTTTTACTTATGCATGTATGCAACTGACTTTTTATACTTTCTTCACATTTTTAATAACCTCAAAACTTTCTTTTTCTTTTCTTCACTTTTTTACAATATAATAAGTACATATATAATCGTACATTTGCACATACAAATTTGTGTATAGATTTGGGTTTTATGTTGGTTTTTTTTTTGTGTGTTTCACATTAACAGTTTTGTTTAGTTGTTTTGTTTTTATACACAGATATATTTAATGACATTTTTCTTTTTTACTGGTTTTGTTACCATTGTTTTTTTGTTTAAGTTTTCAAAAGCGTATTTTTAAGCCATTTTATTTTTAAATTTATTTTTATTTAAATATTTTGTATATTTTTTTATTAAAATTAAAATTTTCTTTTAGTTTGCAGTTTGTAATTTGAAACAGATCTGTGTATTTTTACACATATTGTATATATGTATGTTTGTATGTTTGTGTCGATTTTAACATTTGCAGTTAGTTCAACAGTTTTGTAGATTATAATGTTAGATATTTGCATATATGTATGTATGTTTTTTTTTAAACATATTTAAGTTGTGTTGCAAATAAGTAATACATTTTTATTATGAAAAAAAATGTAAAGCATTTAATAGAAATGTACATAAAAATTATAGAAATTTATTTCAAATAAAATTATATAATATAAAATAAGTATTTCGAGTTCTACAGCTTTGTGGCGTCTACATAACATGTCCGGGCATGAAGTTTTAATTGTAATTTTGTTTTGTGATTTCTAATTGCATTATAATTTACAAATTATTTTAATTTTTCTGTCAACTATTTTTTTTTTTATTATTTGCTCTTGTCTAATATTTTTACATAAGTTGTCTCTTTCACCACTATTTCTATTCACTTTTGTCAACATTTTCGCTTGAACTATGTCGTAAGTTTTATTCCTGAATTGATACATACATACACATATGTACATACGTACATATGTATTTAATCTATTATATGTATAATAAGTACTTGCTTGGAATTTTAGTTAATGAGTGTACCGTTATCCCTCAACCATTCTAAACTTAGCATGAAAGCACTATTTGCATATTATTCAGCACTGTTTGTTGTTGTTGTTTTTCCTACGACCAGTATAAAAATAAATATATGTATAACTTTCATATCTCTCTTCCGCACTAACACCCATCATATAAATACATATTTGTTTTTGTGTTTAATTAGAAGTTTGCTATTCTTCAACTATTTGCAATGATTTTCTCTTAATTCTTATGCAACCCTGCATCTAAACCGGGACTATTATAAATATCCTGCTTAAAACTCACAAAAATATATTGCAATCAATTCTATTTTATTTCCTCTGTGTTTTATTGCTGCTTTTTATATATGTATGTACTTTTTCATGTATGTAAGTATTTAAATACATTTGTATATATCAATTTTTTATATATATATATATCTAGGCCGAAATTGTGTACCATATATGCCTTAATTAACTCTCACAAATGTTCGTCTAAACAACAAATAATACTTTATATAACAATATAATACTAAATATTAAATTTGTAATTATACACAAGTAATTTCTAAATGTACAATAACAAATATTTAACGGTTTAGGCTGCTAAATATTGTGTTGACATAATTGATTTGCTATTTTGTAGACAAGCAAATGAATTTACAGCTCAGGAGCTTTTATAGAGCTTTGTGTAGAGCTTTGGGCAGATCTAAAGCTCACAGATGAACTTGAAATTAGTGGCTTATACAGAGCTTTCGACAAAGTTTACAGCAAAACTTTTGGCAGATCTAAAGCTCACAGTTGTATTCGAATATTTAGTGAAAGGAGTGAAGAAAGAAAAGTGAACATTTTCTAACTTTGGTTTCAACTTAGCACTTTTTTATACTTTTAAACATATTTTTAATATAATATATTTTTTGTTATGTACTTGTTTATTGTTATGTGTATGTTTGTATTAGTTGTGTTTACTGCGTCACGTCTTGTTCTTTTATCTTGATTTAATTCCATTTGTAAATTTTATGTCGAATTACATCATAAAAATGTTTATGTAATAACTCACAATGATCAAATTTCATAAGGAATTACATGTACTACATATGTATATATATGTGTAAACAAATATATACGAGTATGCTTATTACATATGTATTTATATATGTAGTAAGTGCGCACAACTATTAGCATCAAAAGAGACTTTCAACAATCGGTGCATACGTTTAAAGCAGATTCTTTTTGTATGCCAATTTATTTATATATAATATATGTAAGTATACTATTTACTTTGAAACTGTTATGTACCAATTTATTTCTTGTAAATTATTGGAAATAAGCATTAAGTAGTGCAGAACTTTATAAACTGACTGTGTTTAGACTAGCTACGTTTTCCAAAATATTTTTAAATTACAAAAAGTTTTCGAAGTGTTGTTTTTACATTTTTCTACAAATATCGCTCAATCTTTCTTTTTGCGATAGGTGGCAACTTTATCAAAATATATTTCAATTACGCTATCTAAAGCAAAATAGTGCGAAACTCTTTATGGTACATATTTCATAATAAATTATAATCACTCGAGCTTTTTGGGTTCTCTCTATGTATGTATTTAGGCTTGCCGAATATGTTTAGAAACGAGCTTTTAAGTGTCATACATACGTCTAGCACACCTTTTTTCAGTTTCAAAATTTGTTTTTAATAGATGACAACGGTTGTTTTTTGGAAAACATCACTTTCAGTCCCTCAAGACATATGTACTCGTACATACAGTTACATCTACTTCTCGGCGACAATTTGATATTCCTATTTTGATATAGTCATCAATATTTATGTATTCAAGGTTATTAGTTGGTCTATAGTTAATTTAAAACAATCAAGGCTGTTTTGTGGCCTATCAATTGCGCTCATACTAATTTTACGACCGAACTGCTATATGTGGTACTGAT